GTTTTCCTTCAGCTTGCTTGGTTTCCCTTTCCCTGGAGTGTTGATTTTTTTTTAAATTTTGCAAAGACGAAGCAAGGAAAGAATTCCCTCAACTACTTCTTGCAGCTTCGTACCAGCTCCTGTGTAACTGTGCGCGAGTCTGCGCCCCTCCCGCACCATCCCTCCCCCGACACGCTCCCTCTCCATGCGCTCCTCAGCCTTCCACTCCCCTATCCTCTTTGTTTTATTGGATGTGTGGTTTGCCTTGCTTTATTCTGCTCGTTCCTAATTGCTGTTGCCGTTGCCGTTGCCGGCGAAGAAGACAAACATGACGATCACAATGAAGAATGCCGCCACGCCGCCAATGATGAGTTTCCCCTTTATGGAATTCCACCAGAGTTGCTGGCGAAGGTCGCGGCTGCTGCGCTGAAAACCCTGGGCCTGAAATTGCAGATCCTCCGTGGACTGAACAATGTCGTCAATCCGCTGCCCCCGCTGGATCACGCGCTCTACGTTGTCTAGTGCGAGGTCCTTCACCTCCGCCACCGCGAGCTTCACCCGCCGCACCTTGTCCTCCGGCTCCCCCGACTCGCTCATGCGGAGCAGCAGGTCGCGGTAGGGCTTCACAAACACGTCCACCATCTTGGTGTTCAGCTTCGAGACGTTCTCCACAAACATTTTGCGAAACGTCTTCGCCACTTCGTCCAGCGCGGCGTGGCCCTGACGCCGGGTGACGGCCTTGTCGGCGAGAATGGCGAAGGCCAGCTCGCTGTCGGTCATGATGTGGTACGAAAGCTGCGCGGGTCCCGCCGCCGTCGCCGCCTCCTCCCCCTCGCTGTGGAGGGAAATGAAGGAGGTGGTGCGGAAGTTGGGCGCGGCGCATTTGCTCACGACCTCCGCCCACACAACCCCCGGAATGGCGAAGTCGCTCGTCGGGCAGCCGGGGGCCTTGCAGAGCATCAGCCGGTCACTCAGGCGGACCACAATGCCGCCGTATATCTTCGTCTCGCCCTGCATGTCGGTCCGCTGGGTGGGGTGCTGCTGCTTCTTCCTCGCAGGTGGGTGGACAGCGTGCGACCAAAAGAAAAAGCAACAACAACAAATCTCCTACACGCGTGTGCGCTGGGGGGATGATATCCCGGACCCCCGGCAGCCGCAAGCGGAAAACAAGGCAAAAGGAAAAAAAAAAGGAAAAAGAAGCCCAGAAACAGAAATGCTCGCAGGAACCACACACGCACACACACAGTCGGCGGCAACGCAAGAAGCACAGGCGCACAAAGAAGCGCCGACGCAAAGAGCCACACAAAAAAAAAGAGACCCCAGGAATTAAAATTTGTGTATGGCGGGAAGGATAGTAATAATAACGAAAAACATTACAAACAAAAAAAAAACACGTTTTCCTCGCTTCCTTTTTCTCCGCTCTTGCGCTGGCGTTGGCTTTTCGTCAGAAGCGAACTCACCCCCGCGGCCGACGTGGAATGAGGGCTGCCGCCGCTGCTGCTGCCGCAGGGAGGGGGCGGGGTGGCCCGTGAGATGCCAGCGGCGGACGGCGGCAACAACGACGACGGTGACGGTCGTGCCTGAGGGGGCGGGAACGGCACCCGCCGTCCCATTGGTAGAAGCAATAGCGACAAGAATTTGTAATACTAGTAGAAACAAAAATGGTATTAGCAACACGCGGTCCCAATTTCTTTCAGTAAC